GTAACAATGCATCAACAGCCCAACACAATAACATTTGCTCAACCAATGGCATGAGTTTGGCGGCAGGATTATCTTTATGACTGATCAATGACAGATGGTCAGCGTGTGATCATTATTTTTGCAACTCTGTATGGTGATAAAGTGGCTCAGAAATTGCACACTGCAGCTTTAACCTCTGTGGTCTAAGATACATAAAACATGCTTGATGTATTTTCAATTAGCAAAAGTAACCACACATCAGGAACAAAACAATAGTGATATTCATAGTTGGCACCTGTGCAAATCATCTGACATTACACAAAGTGGCTGCAATTCCATTTAATGCTGAAACAGGGCTGTGTGGTTAATCATCAGCTACAGTTTGAATGACAACTGACATTTTAATGGGAAAGGAACAAAGGCTTTGGTACAAAATGGCTGAATTTCTACTGCCCTACATGTCCTGCTCAGAAATTATGGAATTTAAATTTAATACAGCTGTGGTTAGAAAAAAACACACAAATACTCTATTCTTTGATCTCAATCATCTCTTCAGAAGAACCAACACGGCTTTTGTTCAGTTCTGTGCCCAAGCTCAAATGCAATAGTGACCTCTACTGGATGACTGGGGCAGCGGATGAATTAAAAAGTGCACTGCTCACAAAAGAACCATCATTGTGCACCCATTCATCTGAAAGAATTTATAACACTGAAAAAAATATAACTTATTTATTAGTCAGAATAAATTGTTGTTGAATTCTTAATAGGTTTAAATTAAATTACAGATAATTCATTGGCAATTCAAATAAGAAATAATTGAAATTACAGAATTGAAATTTTATACAGTAACATTCAAAAATTTGGGGTAGGTAATGTTTTGTCTTTCTTTTTGAAAGAAGACACCAAGGCTTCATTTATTTAATCAAAAATACAGTAAAAACAGTAATATTGTGAATTTGTTTTTATAATTTAATGTAACTGTTCTATTTTAATATATTTTAAAATGTAATTTATTCCTGTGATGTAAAAGCTGAACTTTCAATAGCCGTTCCACCAGTCTTCACATAATCCTTCAAAAATTATTTTTATATTTTTCTATTTGGTGCTCAAGAAACCTTTCTTAATAATTATCAATGTTTAAAACAGTTGTGCTGCATAATATTTTTGTGGATACTGTGATTTTACAGAATGTGTAAATTTTTTTAAAAGTAAAAAACAATGTAAAAGTATTTACTGTCAGTTTTGATCAATTTAATGCATCCTTGCTGAACAGAAGTATTAATTTCTTTAAAAAAAAATCTTCCTGACCTGCAAACTTTTGAACAGTAGTGGACATGAGCTTACAGAATCAGTGTTTTTTTTATGTAATTTAGTTTGCACCAATGTAAAAAAAAAAAAAAAAAAAAGCCTATATAACATACACGAAACATACAAGAAATGTACATTCTTATAACATAATCAGAGATTTTTCATACCAAACTAATAACAACAAATTTTATTTTTATGAATGAACAAATGAGTGAATGACTTAACTGCTTTCACCCAGACAACCCTTTTAGCTATAATTTCCGGCTTGTGCCATTTAGCGATTGCCTGTACACAGGGGTTATCTAACACTGATTGTATCATTTAGTACATTAAGGCTGAATCTCACGTCCCCAGGTAAAAACACGAGAACCCAGTAGCTGAAAACAATCCTCCCGCAGCACTCATTCTATTACACACGATGGTGTCATTATAGGAAGATAACACCCAGCACCCATTGGAGCTCTTTGGATAAAATATTGATTCTGACGCCACTGCTGACATCAATATGTGTACTGAACACTTCTGTAGAAACAATCCCAGAATCCCTAGAGGGGCATCACATCAACACCACTTTCCTTTTCATGTCTTTCACTTTTAGCCTGAAGGTGAATTTAGCTATGGAAAACAGTCACTATTACAAACCAGACAAATGTGTAGAAAACACTATCATTGTTTACATCATGCTTACAATGGCATGGCTAGGCTGATGTTTTGCAAATCTTTGAATCTGATAAAGCTTGCGCTAAAAAACGTTCATTAAATGGTGTTTTCTGTGCTAAGTACACTGCATCAAACTTACATTTGATCACATATATGTTCAGAATGGAGCACTAGTGTACTGTCAACTGTATTTTATGCAGTATATACTGAAAGATCACATTAGCATTCAAAAGTTTGAGGTTGTTAAAATGTATCATTGTTTTTGAAAGAAGCTCTTATGCTTACTCAGGCTGCTGCATGTATTTGAACAAATATACAGTAAAAACAGTAATATTGTGAAATGTTGTTACAATTTAAAATAACTGTTTTCTATTTTAATATATTTTAAAATGTAATGTATTCCTGTGATAGCAAAGCTGAATTTTCAGTCATTACTCCTTCAGAAATCATTCTAATAGGCTGATTTGGTGCTCACGGACCATTTCTTATTATTATCAATGTTGAAAACAGTTGTGCTGCTTAAGATTTTTTTTGGAATCCATGATACTGATTTTTGCTGTTGTGGGGAAAAAAAGCATTTATTTAAAATATAAATATGTTGTAACATTATAAATGTCACAATTTACGGCATCCTTGTTGAATAAAAGTATTAAATTCTTAAAAGTTACACATAAATGGTATTATAAATTGTTTTTATAGTACTGTTACATTGTTGCAAGTTTAGTGAATCCACTTACCACCTCTACATTAAAAACACTAATTTTTGACAAAAAAGAGTGATACATTATCTTAAGTCCATCATGGATACATAAGATAATTTATTTTGCATTTTAATACATTTTTTGTAAATATATATATATTCACATTTTGTTACACTCCGAACCTAAGGAATGCTAAATAAATAAAAGAAAAAACTCTTGTTGTATGTTTTGGTAAATGTAGACTATCTGCGTAATCCATACATACATACAATTTGCACACTGGGTATACTGTATATACATACTATTTACTGTAGCAGTAGTAAGAGTAGTATGCTAGTATGGCATTCTAAACACAGCCCAATACACTCTTAGTTCATCAGAAAATTCTGTCATTATTTACTCACCCTCATGTCATTCCAAAAACCGTATTCATTGTGAGGAGAAAAGTGTGAATATTCTGCCTAAAATCTCCTTTTATGTTCCGTGGAAGAAATAAAGTGGGGTTTGGAATGACATAAGGGAGAGTAAATGATGACCGAATTTACATTTTATGGTGAACAAACTCTTTAACAATCTTCCAAGTGCCCAGTAACACCATCCACTGTTTACATACCAGTCATATGCTCTTCCAGAGATAGGCAGAGCTGTTTATGGCATTAACAAAAGTCATTTCCTGCCATTCAGTACCACCCCTAAAGATAGTGATAATACTCTTCTGAAGGGTAGGTGGGGTTTGAGAGTGACTAAATAAATATCACTGCCTCTTCTTCATCTCTCGGTACCAGAAAATGTTGTTTTCCTTGACAAGTCCATGTAAAATGAATTGCTCATTATGCCATCCAAAGGTTCACCACTACTATTGCGACAGTGCTAATAAACGTCACCTGTAGGGCAGTGCCACAAATAAACCTGCAATTAGGAGTCATTTTCACATACAACAAAAGCACTAATGACAGTGCCACCTCTGACGATTGACAGCATAACTGCATGAACCCCAGCACTGGATGAGGTTAGTTAAAACACTAATATGAAATACATACTTTGATATGTTCTGTAAGATATTCTCGTTATTTAAAAATTTGCTTTAACCCTCATGTTATGTTCCATTTTGACCCCGAGAGGATTTTCTTTTTGCTAGTTAATGTTATAACATTGGACTAAAACTTACTTACTTTACTCACACAGGGTATAACAACTTTCCAATCATTTTTATACCTTTTGGGGATTTTTTTTACCCACCTTGTTACACTTGTGGTGTTCCTGGTCAAAAATGACAGGCAAAAATTGCTATACATTTCTTTTTATCAACTTTTATTTTAATTAGGACAGGCTTTGTATTTATTTTTTGACTCAGTTTTTTGTCACTCAAAAACTAAGGTGCATAAGCTCAGACTGATTAGGCCTACGACCAATCAGTTCCAAAAAGAAATACAAAACCTGCACTCAGGGCCGTTTCTAGGCATAGGCGAGCTAGGCGGTCGCCTAGGGCGCCACCAGCTGAAGGGGCGCCAATGAGCGCACGTACTGGCACTTTTAGCAGGGTTGTGATAAAGAGTGGCACGGTCACCCTGAAATATGACTGCCGCCACAGCAACTGGTATCTGAAAAGAATTATATATATATATTTGGCTAGAATTGGCTAGAAACGGCCCTGCCTGCGCTAATTGAAAGAAAAGTTGACAAAAAGATTGAAACCAAGATTTGGTAATAATACAGCACAATGAGAGATTTACAAGCAATTTTGACCACAAACACCAAATTAGGCAAAGAATTTTCAACACAGCACAGGGTTAATTGCTGTGTCTCATATATTTTGTTTTCATTTGGATGTGCTTTGTAGTGAATATTAAATAACACGATATGTCTAAAGATATGCGAAAATAAATTTCATATACAGTACCTACAGTATTTCACAGCATCAGCCTTTTACTATTGGTAATTGCAACAAACACAGTGAGAGTATCACTCCCGGCAGAAGCAATTAGCCAGATTACTCGAGTCATTAATTTTGCAGAGAACCTACGCCCTCGAATTTCACAAATATGTATGTCAAACTGTGCAAATTGCTTGATGTAACAGGCAATCAAGCAAATAAAAACAAACGGCAATGCTTGGCAAAACATAGCGAGACGAGAAATCAATCCATTCAAGAACCACAAGACCCCCAAATGTGGTTCCTCAAACTCAAATATAGTAGTTCTGACACTGAAATACTACACATATGTATTTTTTTACTTGCTTGAAAAAGGTTTCAACCCACAGCACTGGCACAATTATACATATTGAGAGCCAAAAGAGTTTTGGAGAGGAGTTGGTATCGGAGACTATGATGAATGTTTGTGATTGGCATACCTGATGCGTCCCAGTGCAGTCCTCCGGGGCTGGCTGCCAGGCGCCGCCGTTTCCTCACACTCACGCCACCTTGACAGGAGTCTCTGGTGGGCTTGGGCAGAGGAGTTGAGGTGGTCCGCAGGGGCGATGAGAACTGAGGGGAGGCTGAAACTGGCAATAGATGGGTTTCCCTCTCCTGGCACTGGCTCAGATGGATAGACTCGTTCTCCAGGGGCCTGTGGAACAAAAGAGATTTCATTTCTGCTGTCACTCCACTATAATTAGCTGTCATAGCGTGATGTTTTCATGATCACAGTTGAGCTCCCCCGTACCGCACAGCATGTCATACCAGCAGTGATAAACGCACGTTTTTTCCATACTAATCAATGTTAAGAAAATTACAGCTTTCAGCTGTATGTCAGAAAAAAGAAGGGAATTAAATTTGTGCAAAATGTGTGAGAACAAAATGTGAGAGTATTTTAAAGCATTATATTATAGACGTCAAGCTGTATAGACAATATTATGTGTGAATTTAATGCTTAGTTTGAGTACATTGTGTTCTACACTGTAAAAAATAAAATCCTGTCAATTTTACAGAAAAAAATGGCAGCTGTGGTTGCCAAAATAATTCTGTTAAAAATTTAAAAATACTTACAGAACAACCTTTAAATATTACAATTTAAAACTGCAATTTACAAAAAAATTTAAATATACTAACAACCATTACAATACTACATATAATACAATTTTTTATACAGTTTTTACACTGTAAATTATAAGATGACTTGTTCTTTTTTTACCTCCAAAAAATGGAACATTCAATAGTATTTTACTGAAAAATTACATTAAATGTAAGGTTTGATCTATTTCCAGTTTCCCCTGTATATAATAACAGAACTTACTGATATTCCTTTACACTTAAAATTTGTATTTTTAGTCTTTTTTTTT